AGGGCGTGCGGGGCTGGCTGGAGACAGGGGCTGGCTGGAGACAGGGGCTGGTGCGGGCAGGGCAGGGGGTGCGGGGCTGGTGCAGGCAGAGGGTGCGGGTACAGCCCACCATGTACGGTAAGTGCCGCCTCCTCCTCCCTCCCCCACCGGGGTAGCAGCAGCAGCCCGGGGCTCGGGGGCTATTTAAAGGGCCCGGGGCTCCCCTGCTTCCACCGCCCTGGCCCTTTAAATAGCCGCGGGAGTCCTGGGGAAGCGGCGGGGCTCCAGCCGCTATTTAAAGGGCTGGGGCGGTAGAAGCAACGGGAGCCCTGGACTTTTTAAATAGCCCCCAGAGCCCCGAAGCCCTACCCCAGGGCTCCAGCAGTGGGGCTCCGGTGGCAATTTAAAGGGCCTGGGGCTCCATCCTCTGCTGGGAGCCCCAGGCCCTTTAAATTGCCCCCTGGGGAAGCTGGGCCACCTGGGTACAGCACACCGGCTCTTGCCGGTACGCCATACCGGGGCTTGGGCACGGGGCCCTCTTAGGGGTGGGGCCCGATTCAGGGGAATTGGTTGAATTGGCCTAAAGCCGGCCCTGCTTTTACGCTAACCTTAGTGTCCAATGCTCAATTTTCTCATCAATAACCTTGGGTGGAGGAGGAAATATTGTCAGATCCGGGAGGGGAATTCTCTTTGGGGATTTTGTTTTCTTTAACCAGTTACTGATTATTAGCACAGTGATACTGTGTACACTATCAATATTTGCTTTTGTCTGTCTCAAAACAAGACATATTTGTTTGACTGTTAAAAAAACAAGAGACAACTTAACTTCCTGTTTGACTTCAATCAACTAAAATATGTATCTGCACACATGACTGCCTGCCTGCCTGTCTTGCATACACAGTGTGCCATCAATCCTCGCTGTCTCTCAGTCTCCCGACTCAGACTCCTGCCAGCCGTACTTTGCCAAGATCTGGATTTATAAGCTCTTTCAGCTAAGAATTTAGAAAGGTGTGGATGTGTTTGCCAGAACCAAGCTAATAAATGTCACTGATTTGTCAATGAACCATTCTCTTGTGCGGCTGTTGTCACTGTCCCAAGTATCTTGCCTAAGGGACATTTTAGAAAGGGGCAAGGAACGGAGAGACAGTGCATTTTTTGTTGTTGTGGAGATGAGAAGCAGCTGTTACTGCCAGCCATATATTGTGCCATCTTACAACAGTGGTTCCTGCCCTTCGCATTCTCATTGACAATTGTATCTTAAGTGCAATACTGCTTTTCATTCCTTTGTATCAACACCAAGAGCATGGTTTACATCTGGATATGAATCGTCTTTATCTACCTATTCTCCTCCCTCTCCCATTCGAATGTTGTCTGACAGCAGGATACTACGCCAATAGGTGGGTTCCTATGTACCGCATCTAGGGCTGGAAAGTTGGAAGTTTATTTGACAGTCACAGGTGCGGCCCCATGAATGGACTCCATCACGGCTGCGAAGCGGCTGCAGAGGTCGTAGGGGGAGTTGGGCCGGATCTTCGGCGGTTCTTTTAGAATGACGACCTCTGCAGAGCAGTCCAGGAGCCTGGGGAGCAGTTCGCCCAGCTTCGTTTGCAGGTTGGCTGTGGAGGTGGAGGAGGAGGAAAGAGTCAAATGACCTGGAACAGGCAGTTACAAAAAAAGGCCAATCGCAGCAGGTTTTAGCGTTGCAAGGAAAAGCAGCTGCTACGCTTTTTAGATAATTATCTACCACAGCCAAAAACTGCTCACCTCGAGCATACAGATGAGCATTGTTTTATGGAGGAGAGACAATGTCTGGTCTATTTAAGTCCTGTATCTTGGCTCTATCAGTAGCCAATACCATATGGTTCAAGGGTGGGGGGGGAGACCACACCAAACTCCTCCCCTCCCTCGCCCCTAACACACACAAACTATCGTACACTATATCACAACCTAGCTGCTTGGCAAACCAGTGATGTGACGTTACTAGGAATATAACTGGCGTATGTTACCAGTGCCACTACCAAACAGGCTTTCCTCAATCCAGGCCACTTTACATGGTCATCCCAAACCTAAGTCTCTAACCTTGCAATCTCAGATTTATGCACTACATCTAGTATAGGCCAAGCATTATTCAGTCCTTCATGAATGACTACCCTCCAAGTGCTGACCCAGTAGACTCCAACAACACACAACGAGTCAAATTTGTAATCATCTGATAATGCAAAACCAAAAGCAGACACCCCCTTCCCTGAGACTGATGGGAATGTAGCCCCAACAGAAGAACAAGCAGAAAAGGGCACAGTCCTCTAACTGATGATGTACTGCATAACAAAATTAACCAGAACTGCCAATTACTGTAAAAAAAATTCTGACCTCACTGTCGGGTCAATGGTGGAATGTAAACATTTCTCCTGTGGGAGGGCTGTTCCTGTCACATCAGGTGTTAGCAGAAACTCCTCCCCTATTTCAGCACTTGGCAGGCCAGCTCTCTAGTAGCTCATTAATTTGAGGAGCTCAAGACTTTCCAGGTGAATGTGCTTCAAACCATTACCACAACACCCTTTTCTGCTGCTGACAGATTAAAAATCAACTGACTTAACCTAATGCACAAGCAATTTTACATGCAACATGAACAGAGGCTGGTGACAACAGACTTGGCCCATGCAACACAGTGAGAGATGGAAACTGCTGAGTTCTGCTCCTTTCAAATCTCAAGTTTCACTATTGGGATTCCATTACATGGAGGAGTTTATAACAAGGCCAAATTTGGGGAAGTCAAACTGCTAGCAAATTTCTCCAGCTTTCTACTTTGCA